CAGTAATATGATACACTTACTCTCTACATTCCTATCTATTTGGCAAAATACAACTCTTGATGAAATAGTTAAGTAGTTACGTCAGTTCCTGATCAAATTTCGTATTTTTAATCGTTGTTAAGTAATTTAAAAAGTAATAGAATATTGACAAGTCTTTCTAAAAAATACATATACATACAAGACGATAGATGTGTATAAGAGACAGTGTATATACTGTATATGTAGCTAATGCCAAGCTCACGATGGACGATGCTGGTTGGTGGTTAATAATTATCTTGCTCGTCTTCCAATTTTACTGTTTAACCCAGACACTCTATAACATCAATAAGCTCATAATTACCTTTGCTTGACGAATCACCTTTGCTATATGATAATGTAAATTTATGAAATGATGGAGAAAAAATTAATCCTTTTATATTAAATATATCCATACTAACCTAAGGGTACTGCATTATCTCGTTGTTATCATGTTAGGTTGTTAACATGTTAAACGACCTGTATACTTGCTTTGACGCCATCATCGCCAACTACGATGTGTATAAAGTGGAAACAATCGGAGACGCTTACATGCTGGTGTCGGGTCTACCGGTTCGCAATGGCGACCGTCATGCCGGTCAGATTGCCTCCACAGCATGGCATCTTCTGGAGTCAATATCGTCATTCAGAGTCCGCCACAAACCTGATGAGGTTCTGAAGCTCAGAATTGGTATTCACTCAGGTAATTTGTCCCAATTAATTAATCAATCAACCATCAATCAATTAATATATCAATCAATTAATCAATCAATATACTGTATCAATCAGTCAATCACTCAATCAATATATCCATCAGTCTATTAATCCATCCATCAACTTTCAAAATACTCCGCCAAAATCCGATTTTGATAATGACCATACTTATGCAATTCAATTAGTGCATATTTTACTGATTATATATTATGGATCCTTATCACTAATTAATACATATTATAAAACAGGTTCATGTGTTGCTGGAGTTGTTGGTTTGACTATGCCTCGTTACTGTCTTTTTGGAGATACCGTCAACACAGCATCTCGTATGGAGTCTAACGGCCTACGTAGGTATTTCTGTATAGTTGGTCTATATGATATTTAAAATTAAAATTGTAAGTGCAAGTTAACTGGACTGGACGGTTTTTATGTTTTATTCAATAGCGTTAAAGATTCACGTTAGCCCAGAATGTCAAAAAGTGCTTGTTAAACTTGGCGGATACGAACTCGAGGAACGTGGTTTGGTTGCTATGAAGGTAAATATTCTTCTGTTATTTAAAGGTGTTGGACTACCATGGTGTGAAAACATATACAGTAAATTGTAACTTGTTTTAATCTTGGTTTTATTTACCCTGATTTTCCATCAGTTTACGAATGTATATTTTATTTTGAAAATACAAAATAGGCCTACATAAACTTTTTTTTTTTTTTTTTTTTTGTAGCCGAAGCAGAATCGCAAATTCTATTCAGTAATTTATTCTGGTTTTATCTTCTCAGGGCAAAGGTGAAATAATGACGTACTGGATGGTAGGACAAAACCCAGAATACAAAATCGAGCGAATAAAACCCCCAAAACAAGACATTTAGGTCCATTAACAACGATGAGGTTTCACCAAATATATGATTAGCTTCTTAGTAACTATATGAATTTACAGAGCAATGTTGTTTTTTTTTTGTGTTAATTTTAATGGTGTAATTAAAAAGCAATACTGTACATACTAATTAAATGAACCCATTAACCAGTGATGGTCACTCAAGTTATGTGCGTAATCGTAAATATCGTGATGTACATCGTGAGTTACTCTAAGTGCATTATTTATTGGCTCCTTCAAAATTGAAATGTTTTATATAGGTTTTGTGTTTCTGACGCAGTTAGTCTTTTGTTCTTAACAAGTTTCATCTAAATTGTCATGTTGAATGTTTTCGTGTTTTGATGAGATTTCGAATTACAGTACTGTAGTACAACTGTACCTTTATATGGATTACGAATTTTATTTCATATATATATATATAGGCCTACACACTTAGAAGTATCCATAGGGGGAAACTAAAACAATGAAGTGGGTTAAAAACAGTACCTTAAGGCGAAAGTAGTGTCGCTAAGGGGAAACTAAAGCGACTTTAAGGCGAAATCATAGACAAAAGAGTTTCCCATTAAGAGCCGTATACGTGTATATATATACATATATATATATATATATACACTGTCTACCATCACTTCTTCATTTATTTTATACATCACATCCTCATAATTAATTGGTCCAGTCTGCAGTACTCTATTGTTGGGTTAACATTGCCTGATTTCGATATCGCATAGGCAATCTTGTAGCACGCCAAACCAGTTATTGCACTGACCAAGAATCTTCTCAGTCTGCCCCGAATCCACGCTGGTGTCGGTGGAACAATATGCACATAACCACACAAAGCAATGAAACGAATCTGCTCATAATGGACCGTTCATTAAATCCCTCCATTTTGAATATTCTTATGCTAAGGTCCCACAAACATACAGCGTAGCTTTGTCCACAAACTGTAGAAAATAAATGTGATATGCCCATATTTGGGTGTATAACATTATCATGCAAATTTATGAACAAATTACACAAATATGTCACAGAAAATTTGATAGTGTGAACTGAGCTTTAGCGCACGTTAACTTTAGTATTTCTGGGATGCACGTATTCCTGGCCCAATCAATATAACCAGACGACGACGACGATGATGATGATGATGATAATGATGCTACTGATGCTGATGCTGTTGATGATGATGATGATGATGATGAATGTGATGATGATGATGCTGATAATGGTGCGAATGATGGTGATGATGATAATGTTGGTGATAATAATAATGAATAGTTAAAATAATGATAGGAATTGAAAAATGCTACCCCTCACGAGAGTAATGATAGTTATTTTATGTTTTTTTACTTATTCATTTCACGACCGTCAACCTCGTGTATTTTATTAATGATTATTCCACATTACGGTATTTACTAGTGAAGTTGCTATTACTATCAATGCTATCTACTATCAGATAAAATAACCAGAAGGACGACATTCAGAACACCGAAAACTTTATTATTATTATTATTATTATTATTATTATTATTATTATTATTATTATTATTATTATTATTATTATTATTATTATTATTATTATTATTATTGTTGTTATTGTTATTATTAATATATCATTGACATTGACTAGCACATGTACTTGTTAATATGGTCAACCATTGTTATTCTAATCTCCCTGAGCTGCATCAACTAATAATAATTGAACCATCTTTGTGGCTTCTCGTATTATATATCATTGTTGACTTGAATTTTGTAATAATAATATAATACACTGCTCGGTAAATTTCCGCTTTTTGAAGCGATAATGGCGTTGACAAAACCATGTCATATAGCATAACATTGTACGCGGACAAATATCGATTGTTGAAAAGAATACCAACATGCAATTTCGTAAAGCAATGTATTACTATCATTTCCACCAATTTTCATTTAATTTATTTCGTGTTCACCTTTTGTTTAATGCTTTTCTTAATAACCAAAGTAGAGAAGTACACAGTAATATGATACACTTACTCTCTACATTCCTATCTATTTGGCAAAATACAACTCTTGATGAAATAGTTAAGTAGTTACGTCAGTTCCTGATCAAATTTCGTATTTTTAATCGTTGTTAAGTAATTTAAAAAGTAATAGAATATTGACAAGTCTTTCTAAAAAATACATATACATACAAGACGATTTTAGTCTGTTCACATGTAACATTTCTTATTCCTCTATTTTTTACTGTATCATGATATAATTAGAGATAAACTCTAAACCGTCTTGCGGTAATGCTATAAAGATAGGCCATAGGCATAAATAAAATGTTAACGTTAAAGAAGAGGAATCAGCAAGTGTGAAATAAATAGGTGCCGCACCGGGAGCTTTTGCTGTTTAAGACAACTAGGCTATTAAGGCTTTGTTGGAAATTCAAGCCGGATTAAAGCATCTACTTCTTGTGACACTGATGTGCATGCGTAATTTGACAGCACTAGTCTTTTATGATGGGCATATATTGTATGTAATATAATGTGGTTGGATTTATATAGCGCTTTATACCGAAGTCTCAAAGCGCTCGAGGTGTTCACTAGCTTGCACAGCAACTTTCTTTTCCCCTAAGGGTCTCTTCGTGTCTGAGCTACCCGCTAAACCGGTACCAGTTCCCTCCGTTATGGAGTTATGAATTTTTAGATAACATGAGGACAAGAATTTAGCCTCAAAAGCTTATCTTATTTCCAGTGGCGTAGAAAAGTATTTTTCATTAGGGGGGGGGGGAATGATTGGCGGGTTAGCCAGTGTCGTAACGGGCGCGGGGAGGGGGGGGGGAAAGAAAGAGGGGAGAGGGAGGGAAAGAGAAAGAAGAGGAAAAGAAAAGGAAAGAAAAAGAAAAAGAGAAGAGAAAAATAAAGACAAGAATAAAAAGGAAGATATCATAATGACCAGATTCACAACACCCTGCAACCCCTTCTCCACTTCAAAAACTGTCATAACTCCTTTGATCTATGCTGCCATACACATCTAGATGTGTATAAGAGACAGGGGGGACAAGGGGAAAATATCTATCTTTGAAAAATCTTCCCCACCCCTTTATAAATTCCCCTTTGATCCCCTGAAAGTGCCTAAAATCCATCCTTAAATTTCGCATTTCGCATCGCATTTCTTGTTAACTTTGGTCAATTTCCTCAAAAAATTGCACATTTTAGGGAGTTTTGATCAATTCCAACGAAATTAGAATTAAAAACACCAGGGACAAGGGGAAAATATCCATCTTTGGAAAATCTTTCCCCACCCCTTGACAAATGCATCCTCTGAAAGTGCTTAAAATTCTCAAATTCTTTGCGCGCATTTCTTGTTACGTTAGGCCAATTTCCTCTATAAATTGCACATTTTAGGGAGTTTTCACGAAATTAGAATTAAAAACACAAAAGTATTTTGCGCGCTTCGTGCGCATTTTTTTAGGGCTTTTTAGGTTTATCCTTTTAAGTTATTTAAACACATATAGTCCCAAACTCAAGAAAGACAAATTTAAGATAGATCGTTTTAACCTAAAAGAAGGGCCTCAATGTGTATTGATGGTGAAAGAATATGTTTGTAATAAATAAAACCATGATGAAAATGCTTATATTTAGTTTCAAACACACGTGTGTGGCTTATATTATAAATAAGATAAGCCCTGTCGTATTGTTTTCTATATGGGGAGTGGGGTGGGGTGGGTATGGTAAATTACTAACCAGGAAAATAAATACCCACTCTGACCCAAGACCCCTGTTACGCGCCTGGTGTTAGCGCCAATGTGTGCCCTAGTGCGGACAGGGGATGTGCCCCCCTCTGAAGCTGGAAACCTTGTTTTTGCAAAATAAATTGATGCAATTTGCTATTATAGGCCTAATCAATAAATTCCTCATCAACCGATATAACCTTAAACATTCTTGGAATTGACATAACATTACTGATGTCGTACACACCCTTCATCGTGAAATGTGGCTCTCTTTGCAAGCACATCTAACATCTAAGGAAAGAAGAGCTTAGATTGACCAGATAAAACATTAATACATTATGCTAATTTTCATCTTTGTAAGCGCATAAGACAGTGCAAATTATTTCTGTGACAGTCTTTTGAAGTGTGTAAAGCTCCATTTTATCCCATACATAGTCAAAATATTGGGCGGGGGGATGATACAATGGACCATCCCCACCCCCCTTTGTCAAATATTAAGGGGATATATCCCCATCCCCCCCCCCCCCGGATCTACGCCTATGCTTATTTCTGTTGGTTACGCACCACTGACATCTGTTGTTTGTCATCACTTCAAGATGTCTACCGATTCGTGGAAATGGCGTATTGTCACACCGTTCTTTGTACTAGACTACAATAGCTTTTGTGATGTTTCAATTTGCAGAGGGAGAATTTCTTTATGAAATTGTACTTGACATAGGGGCCTAATTATTATTTACAACACCACAGTGACGCTCTTGATACGATTATAATAAAGCAATTAGCATAAAGGCCTGTTTATACTTCAACGATAACGATAACGATAAAAAGCTAAAAAGCAATTGTTTATATAGAAAATAAAAGAAATATGAGAAGTTTTTACACTAGAACGATTCGATAACGATTTATCAGTTATGCGATAACAACATATTTTGACGAATCAAATCAGATGACGTTATAATCGTGGAAAACATTAAAATCGTAGTACTGTAGTAGCAACAATTTTATCGTTTTTCCATGATTATGACGTCATCTGATTTGATTTGTTAAAATATTTTGTTATTATACACGATAAATCGTTATCGAATTGTCCTAGTGTAAACATTTCTCTTATTTCTTTTGTTTTCTATATGAACAACCGCTTTTTGGCTTTTTTATCGTCATCGTTATCGTTGAAGTATAAACAGGCCTTAAACCATGCCAACCAACGTAATGTTGACGTTATTACGAACGTCAGTTAATGTCGACAACTCGTGATGGTTATATTATAATTCTTGTTTATTATTAAGCATTTATTTCATTAACTACTCTGTATACTTGCATCGTATTATGGATGCGTTTCACCTGACTGAATGTTGTAATAAAGTCTCACCATAAATTGTTTTTTTTTTAACGACTAGGCATTTTACCTGCTAAAATAGACACTGTTTTTAATTCAGTAAATTAAAAAATGGTCAAGTGATCAAAGACGCAGTAGAGGACCCACTTTGAAAAACCAATTGGTCTTTTAAGATTAGACTGATTTGAAAGCTGTAAAACAATTATACAGGGGCGGATTCAGGATTTGAGGGGGTTCAAAACGTTTCCAATACCCAAAATGAAAGGGGGTGGGGTCCTCCCCATGGAAAATTTCCCACTTTAATACGCCTCTGTATGACTAACACTCAGGTGACCTAGGGTTTTAAAACAAACCGTATATACTCGCGTATAATAGGACGTGGCTTAAAATAGCAAATTACGATCGAAAAAAGGGGGTCGTCTTATACGCACGACATTTATATTTGAGATTTTTATAATCATGTTCGTCTTATGTGCGGATCGTTCGTAACACGCGAACTTACTACTGTAGTGAAGCAACTAAATGTTGTATGAATGAAAACAATTTTAAATACGGGAAAATACGATTTTGATGGTGGAGATTTAAAAACTCATAAAATGTTATTACAGTATTTGGAAGATTATCCTTGAATTTGGCTCCATTTATCCAGCTAGATGCAGTATCAGGAACACACAAAATTAGGAATTCCGACCATGAAAACAGGGAGTCGTCTTATACGCCAGACATACAAATATCAACCAAAAATCTTCTAAAACTTGGGGGTCGTCTTCATGGCCGGCGGAAGCGGGGGGCCGGGGGGGGGCACTCGATGTTATGTATGTATACACACATAAGCCCTATTTACTGTAATAACAATAGGAAAAAATTACCTGACCGTTTTCAAGATGGGAAAACCTTGAATTTTGAAGAACTTAGGTAATTAAAAGACACCTCAGAAGTCGGGAAAGCTCATTTTCCGCCTTCTAGAATCATATTTTTCCTGGGGAGAACCCCCGGACCCCCTTTCTTTTTAAAATTTATCGATTCAAGGAAAAAAAAATCGTATGCAACTACTCAATTTTTTTTCTATTCAAATAAGGCCTATCTACTGTAATAACAATGGGAAAAAATTACCTGACCGTGTTTAAGAGGGGAAAACCTTGAATTTTGAAGAACTTAAATTGAAGTCGCTAAAAGATACTTCAGAAGTCGGAAAAGCTGATTGCCCACCATTTAGAAAATTTCCAGGGGGAGACCACCGGACCCCCCTTTATTTTTGGGATTCATCTCATGGAAGAAAATCGGATGCAACTACTCATTTTTTTTTAATGTATGTATGTATGTATGTATGTATACACACATAAGGCCAATTTACTGTAATAACAATAGGAAACAATTACCTGACCGTTTTCAAGAGGGGAAAACCTTAAATTTTGAAGAACTTAAAAGTAATTAAGACACCTCAGAAGAACCCCCGGACCACCCTTTCTTTGGAGCTTATCGATTCATTGAAAAAAAGAATACGCATGCAACTATAGTACTTATTTTTTTAAATGTATGTATACACACATAACAGGCCTATTTACTGTAATGAGAAAGTTTTCCTTACCGTTTTCATGAGGGGGAAAACCTTGAATTTTGAAGAACAAAGTCATTAGACACCTAGCTCAAAAGTCGAGAAAGGTCATTTCCTGCCATCTAGAAATCAAAATTTTCCCGGGGGAGGAATGTTGACACCACCACCTAGATTTGATTCCAGATCTGCATGATTCATATTCCCATTCATCTGGGGGAAGACTGCCCCCCCCCCCTGACCAAGCCGTCGTACCGGGCTGGGTAAGAAGAGAAAGAAAAGAGAGGAGAGGCAGGGAAAGAGAAAGAAGGGGAAAGAAAAAAAAAGGAAAAAGGAAAAGAAAAAGAGAGGAGAAAAATAAAGACAAGAATAAAAAGGAAGATATAATGAACAGATATGACAATACCCCGGCCTGCAACCCCTTCTCCACTTCAAAAAGTGTCCATATCGCATTTGATCTAAGCCGCCAGGTATTCTCCGCAGTGGCGTAACCACCGGGGACAAGGGGAAAATATCCATCAGTGGAAAATCTTTCCCCATTGAATGCCCTTTTCACCCGGGAAA